AAAAAAAAATTTTAAAAAAAAAGAAAAGGAAAAAAAAAATTCATCAGATACTCATTCACTTCCCATCACTCTTGAGACACTCAGCATTCAAAGGCAATGGATTTGCTTTGTCCATGCCCAGAAGACAGTGATTGGGTAAATAATTCCCTATCATAGAGATTTTAGTCAGAAGTTCTGATGGCATAATTTGTAGGGATCTACACTGCTGACTCAAAAGCAGTACCTTCGAATCCACCAGATGGTCCCCTGGAGAAGGAGGGGCAATCCCCTCCTGTGCCAATCAGATACGACTGGACAATACACAGCAAGGGGGGTGGGAGGAAGCAGCCTTCACATCCTCTTAAAAGATGGGCAAGCTCTCAGCTTTGAGTTGGTTCCAACTCAACAACAATGAATTTAGAGTGGTCAAGAGCACAGAATTTTCTAGCCAGCCATTCACTCTGCTTATGCAGCTCTGGGACTACACCAAGGATAAAGTTCATCAAAGTCTCTGCTCTTAGAGAATTTAGTCTAATAAAGGAGATTTAGTTAAACAATTACTCATTTAGAATGGGTCATTACAAAGCAAAGGAAAAACTCAGGAGGAAAGAATATCCTCCTACAAAAATGTATCACAGAGGAAGCTGACCTCTGTGGGGTATGGGGTGTCGAGTTGAGATCTGGAGGATAAGTAGGAGTTAGTCACTGAGCCAGTGTTTGCGAAGTACACAGAGGGATTAGTCAGGGCTGGGACATAGAGGGAGAGGGGGACTAACTTGTCCAGAACATTGTGGCAGACTAGAGCATTTAAATAGTCACACATCTTAATAAAAATAAATCAGGCAAACAGATAAAAGTGATCTATCTAATCAGTCAAGCTTTGTTGAATATTTTAACTTTAAGGTATTTGTTTTAGTACAATATTTAAAAAGAAATTATGCATAAAAAATTTGAGCAATTTGTTCAGAGAGGCACACCATGAGGAAAATGATGTTCATGGCTATTTGCTACTTATGTCTCTGTCCCATTGAGTGACTCACAACCCCACGCTGATGAAATACTATTTCACTGAAAGAAAGCCATTTTTGCCCTCAAGATTACAAGTTACAGATTGTTGAAGACTGATTATCTTTCTTTCACAGAGAAGCGTTTCTGGAGACTCTGGAGAAACGATGGTAAGTGTGCTTCGATTTTGTTAAAAATTGATTCAGAATGATTTTTCTGTTAATTATTATTTGGAAATCAATCCAGTTGTTTCCTTCGTCTTTGTCACTGAGTGTATTTACCAGACTTTCGAAATATGCCCTTTCCCAATTCTGTTTGAGAGTGCTTCTAAAACTCAGCATTAAACAGTTTATAGGCAGGAGAGATGCCACCAAGAACCAAATGTCTTTTTTTTCTTTATTTTTCTCAAGTTTTGCCAACAGTTGTGGATTTCACTCAAATATATGTCTTTATTTTCATTTAACAGACAGATTTGACTTAGAATCTGACACCTAACAGTTTAGGAGAGTAAATGAATGACCAGGGAATGCTTAGACGTAGAAAGGCTTCATTCCTGTTTGTTTGAAGTAGACCTTTCTTGGTGAGAAATACAAAAGAAAGTGGTTTAGGTGGTACTTCTTGCTCTGAATGGACAAAAATTTATACAGTTCATCATGGTAGGAAGAACAAATAAATCAATCTGGATTTTATTCCAATTTGCTGTGAGCTGGATAATAACTAGGTAAAAGGTTTTAATCTTACAAAAAAAGTTTGCAGGACAATGACTAACATGGATATAAGAAATCTCTTTTTGTGGGAAAATAAAGCAAAATATAATGGTTAATGCAATTACCATTAGTCTGAAGAAGCTTGCTGTTCTTTGATATCTCCCGAAAGATGTGTGTTTTCAGCATCTCACCTTTGAGCATGCTGTCATGCTATAATTATATTGTCCCAGAGCTTCTTAAGTCAATAGAAGAGGACTGAGCAATAAATTCAAAGTCCTAGAATGAGAACTGCACTGAAGCTCCCCCATTTCAGCTGTATTGAAATACTTGTTGCCTATAACCATCATTCCTCTTACATTTTGTTGTCATTTGGAAGTAATGAGACCTGGGTCATAATAAAACTGGAATAGATGAGATGAAAGCAGGTAAGTAGTAGTGTGAGGTGTTGGGGATGTTTCTCTTTCCAGCCCTCATTAGGGTTCCATTCTTTTATTATTTTTTTTAGATGGGTGATAATGACATTTTATTAGATGACTCAAGTACACTTTAGAATCCTGAAAAATCATGTAAAAGCTCCTATAATTTTTAAGCATTCTTATTAAATAAACTATGTCCTAAACCTTTAGGTATTTGACTTAGTTTTTCATAGATTGTATAGTCAAAGAAAGGCCTGTGAACTTTGTCAGAGCCCTGAAGGCTAATTTAGTATCATATTTGGTGCTCCATTCTCAAACACAGACGGCCTTCCCTTCCAACTCTACAGTCCTGGATTTTTTCCATAGCTATGGCTTTGATTTTTAAATTCTTTCCTGGGTTTTCTTATAACCATTTCCCACAACCATTTTATCCTTGTATGTTAGCTATTAGAAAGAAAAACTCCATTATTACCAGACTTAGAGAGCTATCACAGCTAAGTGAGAAGAGGACAGGAACCTATTGTAATTAATGTCCTAAAACAAAACGTATGTGAGTGATTGAATGGAAGGCCTACTTGCTTTATAAACTTCCATTCAAACCATAATTGTTCTTAAAAAGTAAAAATGAACCTACAACCAGGAGAAGATAAAAACAGATGAATGGGACCTTCTAAGAATCAAATCCCTACGCACATCCAAAAACTTCTCCAACAGGGTGAAAAGGGAAGTCACAGACTAGGAAAAAGTATTTGGTAGTGATATATCAGATAA